ATATATTTAATGATACTTAAAATGGCAAATATTAGACGGCCAATCTGACGTGCGTTGTTTACACTTTAGTTCAATAGTGGGATTTGTTCTCACGTGTTATGGTGTAATTAGAATTGAAATAGGATTAGCTTGGCGGCGCGGCGCGTACGTCGCTCTTATGACGGAACAAGTTATTGTTGACTGTGTGAATTATAATGTGATAATGATTATAACATTAAATCAAACGAGAGGATTGTGTAATGGAACTTGATAATATGACGTTCGTAGCGAGACACCAAAAAACTGAAGGTCGCATATTGTATTTTATTTATATCTATTTAATTGGTTTTATATATAGTAAGTGGCTTTAAAAAGATATTTACTATGTTTTTTATCCCCTAATTTAATTATACCTAGCTACTTAAGATAGAGATCGAAAAAATATCTTGTCTGATCTGTCCTGATATCTTGATAATTATTTTCTTACATTAAATGTAAAAGTAATGTAGAAAACTGTTTTTTATATTAACTTTCATCCCTTATTTAACACAATTAGGGGTTGATTTTTGAGAGATACTGGAATTTAGTTTTATTATTTTTATATTATAAGAGATATAAGATAAATTTCATGTAACTCTAACCGAGTTACTTGGAATTAATTAAAAATAGACTTTTTTATTTATTTAAAAAAACCAACAGCGCTTTACAAATAAAATTAACAAACATTTTATAACGTAGTAGTATGGCCAATAACAGGTTTTTCTAAATTAAATTCTGTACATTATGTAGTTGACAACTTTTTCATACTTCATCTCTATTTTTTACACTCAGGGGATGAATTTCAAAAAATAGTATATACTATTTATATACCAGGATGTCTGTAAGAGATTGCTTTCAGCGATAAGGCCGCCTTCTGTATATGCACATTCTGTATAAATACTCCTTGTGTACATCTCAACTGTGCGCAATAAAGAGTTTATTATTATTATTATTACAATCTAATACTTGTATAGCTTATAAAAGGAATCTATTACCTTTAATTTGGTATAGTAAGCATTAGTAGCTTTTCGGCTGTGCGCTGGTGAGTCAGTCACGATATGTCTGTTTACTTCTTTCCTTTTTTTAAGACATTTAGGGATAGAATTTTTAAAAGATTGATATTAAGTTTATTTATTTTTCTGTTAAATAAAAAATATATTTACACCCTTCTCTCATCTCACGGGTGTCATCTCGAAAAATCCTTTTTTTTTATTAGGTATTTGAGTAGGTTACAAAATAAACCTACTGTCAAAATTTGATAATTCTAACTTTAGTACTTTCGGTTGTGCGTTGATGAGTCAGCCAGCTAAGACTTTTCTCCTTATGGTATGGATTAATAAAGTTACGGACTTTGATACATTTCCTTAGGATATATTATCGTTTTTTTCAGAAAAATAACTTGACGTTATTCCGTTTGCGACTGTTTTATATTTTTTGGTTTATCCGCTTTCAAAATTAATCTCATGCGCACGAACTGGTTATGGAAAATCTCAACTCTTATCAAGGGCCATAATGTCATATAGTCTAAAGCAAACCCCGGTGTCTACCGCTTGTACATAATTTAAATATATCAGTTCGACAGTATTACAAGAGGTGCGGACTCAATTCGACAGTTTTTTGTACGAATGTAACGAGATATATTCACCAACTCTGAACCGATTTTGAGAATTCAAAAACTTTATTTTAACTAAAATCATATCTACCAGTATGTATATTATTTCTAAAAATATATACATATTTTTAAAATTACATTTCTTTATAAATATGGAAAAAGCAATGATGCAAAACATTGCACTTGATACGTATGATGGAAAGGTGGAAGGTCGTCGTACGCGCACGCCGCGTCGCAACGCTGCAGGTGCGATGCGCGCGCGCAGGCACGCGTCGTGCCGACCGCGACCCCAACTCCTCGCTCCTCTATTCCTCCCAGTCGCCACGTGTGACAAGGATCTATGAATTTTTAGACTAGTTTAATTTATTATTAGGATAATTTTCCTTATTGAACTAGCATAAGGGATCAATTGTTTCTGCCTACCCCAATGGGAGACAGGCGTGACAGATATGTATGTATGTATATAAGTATGTAAGAGATCTATGTATTTAGTCTACTTATATTTTTATACATGGATGGCACTAACATATTATAGTATCATCCATTTTTTAACCTAAATTCTGCTGCATAGATCGAGTCAGTTTAAACTGTATATCTTTAGTAAGTATTTAAAGAAAAAACTAATGCTGAAATTACTTTAATCAACAATAAAAGTAGAACATTTATACCTTTTATCATCTATGTAGGTGTTTACTTAATGCATCCTCTCTGTCCACCATAGTTAGATTATCAGTATCCGACAATTTCATTTTTTAATGATAGAAGTTAATGCTTTTTTGTGGAGCATAATTGTACCTACATACTTGAGCAAAATGTCGGACGAAATACACAGAAAAAGAACTGTTTCTAACTGAAACTGTTAGTGCGTTTGATTTTACCAATTTACCGTGATCATAGGAAAAATAAGAGGAGAGGCGTACAGCTACGTCACGTGCCACGTCCCTTGCTTCGTAGTCGCAGTTGAAACGCTCAGTTTTGTTTGTATTTCCCGCTCGACATGCCCCGCTAATGCAACGGCAAACGGACGCGCCGATAGTTCTTCTCTGGTCTCAAACGACGTCTGTTTGTATGGTAAATCAATTACCTGTTGACTTTTCTTTGACATCTACATATTTAATGTTTACTTATACATATATTTTAGGTTTGTTTTAAACATATTTCTAAATTTGTACATGAGTTTTAAAGTAATAGATCCTGTAGGTATACATGCAATGAAGTTGTTGTATATTAACAAATTCCGTTGGATTAAATCTTGCATCTTATTGTATGATAATGAATGATGTTGACAATGACTACGCATTGATGATATATATTACATCATCGCCATCATCATCATCATCATCATCATCTCAGCCATCTGTTCACTTCGTAATACACGTCTACGCAGTAGGGAGAAATAATATTCTACGCAATTGCTATTCACCCCGTGGACTATAGATAGAACTAAGAACAAGTCTGGAGACAACATACATCTTTATTAATATTTTAATAATAAAGTAGTATTATAAATTATATTTTTTGATATACAATATTTTTATGGCAATTCTACAAAAACTTTGGAGTCAAATTCAAATGAAACAGTGGTGACCAATATATATAAATTTCATTCATACATACATATCTGTCACGCTTGTCTCCCATTAGGGTAGGCAGAAACAATGGAACGTTGAATACTTCGATCCAAACAAACCTCCACCATAAATTCCTTCTGTATTAAAATAATTAAAACTAATAATATAAATATGACACATAATAAATACTTTTAAAAATATTTATTTAAGAAAAATTTACTGAGTATTTTGATATTTTTTTAGTTATTTCAAATGACTACAATCAGGTTGGCGTAAATTTACAGAGTACAGAGGAATAACATCTGAGTCCTCAGGAATGGCAATGCATGGGGGGTATCATGGGCGAAACAGTATACTATGTTATGTCCATGGTACTGCTCATATCTATAGGCGACGGTTACCACTTTCCATCAGATGGGCCGTCAGCTTATTTGCCATTTTAAGTTGTATATAAAAAAAAAAGGTAGAAGTGACTATAAATAAGAAAAAAAAATCTTTAAAAAGAAAAACGTAATAGTGGGGTGATCTACCAAGTGTAGTGCTAAATCAGTAATTAATAAATATGTTACTTGGAAATGTAATGCGCTTAAATGTTACCCCGTACACCGCAATGAGAGCTTAGAAGACTTAACATTTCATGGACAGACAAGCGAGACGCGGTCGCAGACGAGACGGGCCGTGCGGTGGACAGTGTGGTGCCTGGTGTACGGTACAGTGTGGTGAAGTAAACTTCATTGTTCACGCTGCAGACAACCGCATGAACAATACACGTAGAATAAGCTTACATTAGTTTCCTTAGTCTAGAACAGGGCTGCTCAAATTTATTAGTTCCTTTTGGAGCAATAAAGATTTTACGGGGAATTAAATTGGTTTTATATGTTTTATTTTGTCAATTTCATGTAAATATAGGTAGGAATGTACAAATGCATATTAATAAATAAATGAATTTCAATATTTTGATGAAACTGGTTATATTTCATTGCTACAGTAGTTACTGATAGCTGATAGAATCTTTACTAAAAAGCAATAACTTTTTTGCAATCATATTTGAAAAAAAAAATAAAGCGTTATGTTCTATGATAATCGCTAATAATGCAGCTTTATATAGGTGAAAGAATTTTTAAAATCAGTTAAGTATTTTTTAAATTTATCCATTACAAATAAAAATTTAAATCAGGTCTCTCACATGTATCAGACACCTTGATAGTACAATTATTACCGTAGAATGAGTTGAATAAGACAAATTTGAAATTTCGGTAATTTTTTTTCGAATTCATCTGCACAGTGACGTTTGATGATTTAGTGTATAATAAAGGATTATATCTTTAATCTTTGTCTATATATTATTAACTAAATCGTCTGGTTTTCTTGAAATCTTCTAAAATGAGTTAGTTGTTTATACACCCCGAGGTTGGGGTGAATAGAAACGAGAGAAGGCTCATTAGAAAAATTAACTAGGATTGACACCTTTGTATAGTAAGTTTAAATACGTCAGTAGGTACTCTTATATCATAATATTAAGCATTGAATATATAATCATGAATGATGAATCAGATTATTTAAAAAGATGTAAATAATCTGATTGTATAAACACATTTGTTAATTTACGTGTGTCATAAATGGCTCAAATAAAGTATTTATCTATCTATCCATCTATATATAATCGAGTTTGGCGTGTCCTTTCATCATTAATGAAAAAAAGTGGCTAGTATATAAAATTATACACAAAACTATTTTTTTTTCTTTTTTAATAACATAACTATATAGTAACATTTTGTTGTACAAGTAGTTTTGATAACTCTAAATGACAAAATCTTTTCATCCCATAAGCGTATTTAAACAATAATAAGAAACTATCTTTTGTATATTCAGAAATACAAATATATTACTTACACGCTTTAAAATATATACACTGCAAAATACAAACTATGGCTGAAATATAAAAAATGTAAAAACACTTGAAAATTTTGCATCTTCGCACTAGAACATTCAAAGTATGTTTTCACATAGATTGAAATATAATTGGCATTTGATAAATTGTTGTCTTAAAAAATAAAAATGTTTATTTTACTTAAATATCATTTGGCACTATACAGAAAAGATAGGAGATATAAAAAAAGGCTTTATGCTTTATCCGGATTTTTTTATTCACCTCGTGAATTCTATGGTAATGTTTATATCAGGCTTTTAAAAATAATTAAGTTAACTCTCTTTAGGTTACAAATATTTCTTATTTCAGTTTTAATAATATAACGCTTGTTAGAGTCGTCATTGAGATAATCTAGTCATTTCATTGCCATCAACTGGATCCTTTACCGATGGTTTTCCAATCATCTCAGCTTCAGATACCGTGTCTGGTAGTTCGGTATTAGCGGTTTCTGGTATCAAGAGTGTCAATGCTCCGGACAGCAGAGACGTGACTCCAAACAAAAATGTTGGCATTCCCGACCAGTATGATATCTGTAGAAATAACGACGAGTTTAAATTATGACATAAAATAATTAATAGTACAAATGATGAACCATAAAAATGCTAACGAGAAAACTGATGTTATCGAGGTATAATTAGTTATAAACGGATTGATGTCGATTAATAATTAAGATAACTAAGACGTTTTCGTATTTATAGTTAACAGATTTTAACTGTGATAGAGTAATGGATATCACGATTTAAACATGGCAGATATATATATATATATATATATATATATATATATATATATATATATATATATATATATATATATATAAGGAAAATAATTGACGTGATAACGAAATACAAAATCTAATTGATAAACTTGTAACACCCAATAAGTATAAGCTTTCTTACATAATTAATCTATTATTAATCTTCTTAACTGACATGTAATATCTTTTACTCTATTCTATTCCTAAATTACCTTGCAGACTACATTTTAGCCTAATCATAATATAATATTTAGAGAGGGACGTTAAATTAAATTTTACAGAGTGTAGTTCTAACTCTTTAAAATGAAATGATCTTATCATTTCAATGAATATTTATTTGCCAAAATCATTTTAGTTCCTAATACTGTAGTTTCTTGAAAGATGGAAATAGCACATTGCTTTTCGTTGTAGCAATTTACAGAGGAACTACAAGGCGGTGTGTGACTCACGTATATGGGGTATATGAGACTGACAGATTGCATAGAACACTTACCATTAACGGAGTCTGTGGAGCAACAAGTGATCCAACTCTGCCTATAGCGGAACATATGGCATGCATCGAGTTCCTGGTGTACGTTGGGAACAGCTCGGAGGTATACATGTAGACGATGTTGTACGAAAACGTAGCGAGCATTTCGAACGCCATGTATAATGTAAGACCTATCCAAGCATAACCTGAAAGTTCAGTACAGTAAAATCAAGTGCAAACTCATTGTCTAATAAAAAAAAAAGAAATGGTTTAAAATTGACAGTTCTGTAACTTAATTTTAGCAACAATTAAATTACCTTTTGGAATGAAGGGCTTACAGATGCAGAAGATACCGCCAACAATAAAAGATGCCAAAAGAGGCAATTTTCTTTTATATTTAGACAATGCTAACCAATAGAACACATTGGCCGGTATATCCATCATAACAAGTAGAGCGAAGTTTATATATTTATTGCCGTCAATAAAAACGGAGCTGATCATCATTCCGTAGTTGATCAGTGTGATAGTGAACCACCACACCATGCAAACGAGGAACCTTTGCATCATCACCTTTGACCGGAAAGTTTTCAACAGCAGTTTCTTTTGTTTCAATTCTGTCCTCGTTTCCTCATCTATGTATTCTAATTTATTCAACATCATCTTGTCTAATTTTACTTTATTTCGTGTTGCCACTTTTTCTATCAACTTGATGGCTTCGCGCCTTCTTCCTTTACTGAAGAGCCACCGTATACTCTCGTCCAAGAAGAACGAGTAGGTCAGTACAATGAGTGTGGGTGCGTATATCACCCGTAGAAAGTGGCGCCAATAAGGCACCGCCCAGGCGATGAACGGCATTACTATGAGTCCCCCAGTGTAAAAATTGAGTAATATCATTTGAAACAACACTGTCCTCTTTTTCTCCACGATTTCGATACCTTAAACATATTTTGGTAAATTTAGAATTTCCTAACAACATTGAACAGGGGGGAAAGGGATTGTTACTAATGGAGACTGAGAACTGCTAGCATTATACCCAACCAGGTCGACTTCCTCGCGGTTCTCCCTGGAAATTATCGAGTTAGTTCGTGATGAATTCATCATGATGGGGTAACTGGCCTGTTTTCATTTTCATCTATCACTCTTCACTGGTGCTCCGCCAGCGTATCCCGTTAGCGCAGGCGGGGTTACCATACCATTTTCACCCATAAAAAAAAACATTGAACAAGTCCAAAGTGCACTTGTCTTTTTTGTGTAACCTGACATCTATGCTAAATGTTGTATAATAAAGCTTGGACAAACAAACAAACATTGCCTATTATCTAAATATTTATTACATTATGTTTAATTATAAATCTTATGGATATTAATTCAATATTGTTTGTAATTATTAATAACAAAATAATGGTGTACTACATCCATTTAAGTACAATTTTACTTTGGCAAAAATTTTCATACATTTATAATTCCATCTTTTTCTAGCATTCCAACATTAAAATCTTTTTTGGCATTGAGTTTTTTATTTTTTTATTTTATTAGTAGTGAGTAATTTGAGGGTCATTTGTCTTGAAAATCTTGATTATCTTCAAGAAAGATATGAAAATGTAATGTTTGTAAAATTTAACATATACAGGGTGATATAATCGGATATAAATGTATTTTTGGCATTTGGCTTTCTTAAACGGATTCTATTGTATAGATATTTAGAGTTATATCATGGTACTACTATAAAGAAAAAAATGACAATATTTTTTTTTTATAGTTTTGACACAAGAACTCACTTAACATGAACATGGGTGATAAGGCATCACCGATGGCGGCTTCCAGCCCTTCCAATGCGATATACCACCAAAACGATGTAGCAAAGCTTTTGGTTAGGCCAAGAAGAGCTCCCATAGTGCCAGCGAATACAGCTGCAGTCTTCCGACCGAATCTAATAACAATAATAACAAGTGTTAGATGTATTTTAATTTGAAGTAATTTTATACCATTTATGAGGATTGATTACTTCAGTTCTTAGAAGTACTAATACCCATTAGTTTTAGAAAATGCAGTCTTTGATAGAAGCAACGTAACAATCTTCTCTAGATATGTGAAATTTTTCAAGAACTGCATGCGTTCTTGTGCGTTGTAACTGTTAGTCTTAAAGAACTCTATCTGTTATATTTGTAAAAGACTACCAAAATAGAATATATATTTAGCTATTTAGTTTACGTAATAAAATAATGAACTTAAATTACTGTAATTTCGTTGGAAGAAATAGCATCATTCATCATAATAATCTGATTCAAGATGCAGTTTAATTTATTAAGCATGTACCTATATTTTTATTCGATTCGTTTCCTAACGTTAATAAAACATGATTAAAGTAATCAACATTTATAGAATATCAGTGTTAATTGTTACGACTGTAGGCGGTTACTTTGTGTTATCAAATCTTTATTTATTTTGGAACTTTTGTATGATGACGTCGTGTTCAATTTTATTACAGCCAACCTCGTTCAGATAAAGGATCTCTTGAATTATTGTCGTGTTTGTATGCTTGACTTGCGTTACAATTATTACATTTTGTGAGTTACTCATATTTTTATTCTGTGAATCTACATGTCTACCGTGAACAAGAGTTAGGCAACAAGTAGTCGCCGCGTTTGACCGTAATCTAGACTTATTGTTTACAAACAGCATGGATTATTAGCAATATTTAGTTATTTTGTGCAAAGATGACCAACCTATCTGAGATTTGTCCCTGCAAGAGCAGCCCCAACATGTTACCGAAGCTGTGGACAGTTCCGACCAGAGCTTGCTTCCAATCTTCACACGCTAAATTGAACTGCAACACGTAAATATCTGCCCATTTAACAAAATTGTAACTGTTCAACCGTAAGTAATAACCGTACAAATGTTTTGCAAGAAGAATTTTTATGATAAATCAAAGATTTTTGGAACATTCCACCTCTTTTTTATATTTATTTTTTGTACTACTGAGGTAGCAAACAAGAATATGGCCTACTTGGTAGTAAGCAGTTACCGTAGCTTATGAACGCCTGCAATACCATTCTTATTAAGCTAATCTAATATGAAATCGAAAAGTGACTATAGGAAAAATCATAACCACCATCACCTTTGGACTCTATCTATATTTCTATCTGAGTTTTATATACGAGTCTCCCAGATGAGACTCAGCTCCAAAGTTTTCATAAGGTCTACGTAGGTATAAAAATATATCCTGTGTGCAATTATTTAAAGTATACTTAACCATATTATGATAATAACATTATTGTACATCGCAATTTATGAGATTAAGATCTGTTTACGTCCGAAAACTGGTTTCTCGAACAATACGCGACCGCATTTATGCGTGGAGACAAATTATAACTTTTATACGAATAATTGACAATGTTCACTATAATAAATTTTACAGAAAACTGTGGTAGGTAAATGTAATAGTGACGTCATAAATATATACGAGTATGATAAGGAACTAGCGTAGATTTAATCTAAAATAAATATCTGAATCTACGAGTAAACAATCTCGGCATGACAAAATGTGTACCATTTAAAATGTCTTATACCGACTCTCTGTTGCTTCAGTTTAGGTTTTTAGACATCATGACATGAAGTGAGCGTGACCTTAAAAAAGTTACAGTATTTTGATGAGGTGGTGACGAGGGAAACCATGTTTAGCAGAAGATAATTGTTGAAATAATGTTGAAGTTTCATTCTGTATATGTACCTCGGCCATGAAACTGTCGGGCACTTCGTACACCCATTCACTGCATTGCACCAGTTCGCTGGTATTGAATTCCCGACAGCCGGGTACCGGCGCGTAATGGACGCATTGCTTCACGCTTTCCTGCTGCTCCGACGAGTTCATCAGCCACGGCATTGAAAATGTCGTATCGTTTGATTCCTCGCAAGCGGGAATTCTGCATCTGGAAAAGCGAGGATTTGTTGCTTTCACTTTTCGGAAGTGAGACTCGGATAACATACTTGACAGAAAGTAATAAATAAAATAATACTATATTATATTATCTGTGCGTATGAGTACAGATACGATCAGAACTATGCGCCATTGATGGTAAGCGTATTACTGTTGCTAATCTTGAGGGCTTGGCACTGACGTAGAAATTGCTCATGTTAGGAGGCACAGTCTCATGCCTTCTGTCAAAAATTATACTGCTTCAGAAGGTAATCCTTCAAACTAAAAGTTTAACCACTGATGATCTTAGAAATGGCAAAAATACCAAACACCTTCATGCCACAAGAGTTTACAACGCAATAGTAGTGCATCAAGTGTTTTTTTTTTTGGTAGATGAAAATGGCCTGCGCTAACGGGATACGCTGGCGGAGCACCAGTGAAGGGTGATAGAGGAGAATGAAAACAGGCCAGTTAGCCCATCATGATAAATTTATCAGGAATTAACCATGATAGTTTCCAGGGGGAACCACGAGGAGGTCGCCTGGTTTGGTATATTGCTAGCAATGGGATTTTTAGTCTCCATTACTAACAATCCCTTTCCCCCCTGCATCAAGTGTTGTAAGTGGTTAGTTACAGTGTTGATAGTAAACTAGGCTATTTACAGCTATGTGTGATAAATACCAACCTGTACTGCACATCTTCGACTGCAAACACATAATTCACATTATACATGGAGTTGGTCGAGTAGACCAGCGCCAGCATGCACATAGTCACCAGCTGGTGGCGGCCGAACGCTCCCAGCTGTTCCAGCACATCGTCCAGATGGATGGACTTCTGATCGTTCAGCTCGGCCATCGTGAACTGCACTTTAAGTTCTTCGGTACGAATGTAAACACCACAATTTCTTTTACGGTCATTGCAAGCACTATCAGAACTGAACTCCCCAATATGCTACCATCTTTAGTGGAGGTATTTGGAACCGTATGTTCACAGTCGTTTATCTCGTGTACTGAAATTTAAATGTTTTATTTCTACAAGTTAATAAGGGAAAGTTATATCTATACATATATTTTAAGTTGCAGATACATAACATTTACCATTAACGGTATTCTCCTTTATTTCTTAAGCAACTTAAAAAAAGGTTCTTAATTCGACTGGTTAGGCAACTTTAAATTGAATTTATTAATACTTTCTGAAATCGATAGTTACTGCCATGCCCCGTGTTGGTCTCTAATATGTCTTATTAATATAATTATAGGTATTAGGACCTGGTAATAAAAACCTTTTTCAATATTGTGTTAAAAAAAAGATTTAATAGTTTTTTTTTTTATTAAATTTAAAAAGTATTTACACTTTATAGAACTTGTTGCAGTATTTTTGAAATATATAAATAAGGAGAAGGGATAAAATGTCAACTTAAATAAAAAAAAATCAAATTATTTTCATGTAATGTACGATAATTAATAATAATTACTACTCTACCTTCGCTTGGAGACTTCACGAGGACGTGCTGACGACGGTAACAGTATTGTAACGATTTACTATAAACGTTTAACTATAAACTGATGATAATGAGTACATCAGTTAAGTACCGCTGACAGTAACCTGCGTTGTGTCAAGATAACGCCTTGTCAAACAGAAAGCAAATATATATTTTATTTAGGTAAATAGGTAATGTTTTATTTGTCGTTATTAGTTTTTTTAGAACAACGATGAGATAAGTATAGATTGTGTTTAATTTTTTATACAACTTAGAATGACAAACAAGCTGACGGCCCACCTGATGGAAAGTGGTAACCGTCGCCTATAGACATGAGCAGTACCATGGACATAATAGAGTATACTGTTTCGCCAATGATACCCCCCATGCGTTGCCATTCCTGAGGACGCAGGTTATATTCCTCTGTACCCAGTAAATTCACGCCATATCCCACCCTTCAAACCGAAACACAGCCATGAAAACACAACTGCTTCACGGTTGAAACACGAATGGGACAGAGCTACCCAAGCAAACGACTTTGGTCTTATACCTATCTGTCTAGTTTGACACATGACAACAATAAAATAAAATTAATATGCTTTGTACAAACGTGTATATATATACTTTTCATTTAAGAGTTTCCTCTTGTCGGTGTAACTAATTTATGCTATCTTCTTCCAGCCAGTTCTATCCCAGGCCATATCCTTGACCTCCCTGGTCAAGGATACGACGTGACATGATGCCTAGTGTTTCCTTTACCTGTCCCATGTAGTTATTCCTCGGTCTTCCTCTTTTGCCCTCTATTTTTCCCTCTAATATTATCATAAAAAAATATATAAATATTATACATTTGTTATCTAAATTTAATATATTTATACTATTAACGTGTTAGTTTTAATTATTTCCGTCGTGCGTATCACAGTACGCATCTACGAGTATATTTGTCTTTCGCATAATCCTTTTAATGTCTACCACAAAAGAAGTGTGGTATAATGCGTGAAATAACAAAAGATAATACCAGCAACCGTCACAACAAGGTTCACGAGAGTGAACGAATTGGGAACTTGTACCTTTTGAAAGATAAAACTTCTCTAGGCAAAAGCAACTTGTCAAGTTAGTTATCTGAGTTGGTTATAATATAGAAAATTATTATAAAGTATTTATAGGTGCTATTAACTATGAGAAATATTACATTTGTACCGGGTCTCGGTCAATTAAGGAACAGTTCCTGACAATCAAATCTGTTCAACCGTTCACACGTGATTGACTGTTTATAAATATCTGAACATACTAACTTATTTACTAATTCTTAGGTCTAATTAGAAAGATTATTATAACTGTTAACGTAATTTACTTATAATGTCAACAATAGAAACAAACACTGGTTAACTTCATGCCATTCTATTACTAATGTCTCGTCGTAGGTTTAAAAGCAACAATGTTATGAAATTGAAGTTAGTTGAAAATATATCCATTTCAGTAAAGACGTGTGTTTTCTTGCACCTTAAATTGATATTGAAAAGTGAACCTTAACACCTTAACAATAACATTAGGAAAGTTTTTCAAGTTTTGCTGTCAAAGGATTAGAAATGAAATGCTTTCGACTATAAATAACTTATTTAATAATTATTTTATAAAACATTATAACTTTATTATATGTATTACATCTCCCATATCTAGAATTAACAAACTTTTTAATCGTGCCTCCTATCAAACTGTTTATAATTACTCCTCTCCATCCAAAGGTTGCCTGGAAGAGATCGCTCTTAGCGATATGGTCGCCCATTGTTTTCTCATTGTGATTATTTCTTGTAATTGTTTATATGTATAATAAGTTTACTATTGTAATCTTTTGGAGGAAACAATAAATAGTATCTATCTATCTTTATTTAGGTATTTTATTCATAGGATTCTATACACTATTAATAGGTAGAAAAAATACATCCGTAGCACGTGCATGGGCACGGATTAAAAAAAACTATATACAGTTTATTTTCGTCCATGATGCAAAGTTGCATAAGAAAAATATTTTCAAATTTTCTTCACGTTACGTTCACAACAAAAAAAAAAAACAGTCGTCTCTGAGTAGGCATATTTCTTTTTTAATGTAAATATATATACACTTACATTTTACATAAATTACTTTCGTGGACTTATTTAATATAGACACGTGTTATATTTAAATTTTTTTACGGGATTTAATGTCTTGATTCAGGTAAGATAGTGTCCACATAGCTGTTTCAAGTTTTTATTACCGAAATGTCTACATTTCGGTAATAAAATTTGGTGTGGCTGGTTAATTTATCTGAAACAGTGTTGTATCAAGTCTCCAAAATAAATTTAATTAGATTACATACCTGCGCCTGCTACCCAGGGAGGTACTTGATGACATATTTTTATGTAATCGTAGCTGTGTAAATAACGCAGAAGTAAAAAATTTACTGAGTGCCTATCGTGAAGTATTTTCCGAAATTTCGGGGACGAACGAAACAAAAATTTGATGTTAAAATTACATAATACATGCTGTTTAAAATTATTAAAAATGTTAAAATATCGTTCCTTTGGACTATTAGAATAGGATTTATGATGAACGAAATGTTAAGCTCCATTTACTGGGTCGATTTCGATACGAACAAAAATACGAAATTGAGCCCGAAATTTCGGAATTTCATTTTATGGTAGACCACCTGTTGTTTAACAAAGCTATCAAAATTGTATAAATACTAGGTACATTTACATACTTACATATCTGTCACGCCTGTCTTCCTAATGGGCAGAAACAATAGGTACTTATTAACAAAGAGTCAATAAAATGAGAACTAAAATATATTGCAATTCTTGTAAGATTTTCGTTAGTATGTGTTAAATGGGGGAATACTGCTATACGGGAGGAAAGGTATTGTTAGTAGTGGAGACTAAAAATCCCATTGCTAGCAATATACCCAACCAGATCGACCTCCTCGTGGTTTCCCCTGGAAACTATCATGGTTAATTCCTGATGAATTCATCATGATGGGCTAACTGGCCTGTTTTCATTCTCATCGATCACCCTTCACTGGTGCTCCGCCAGCGTATCCCGTTAGCGCAGGCGGGGTTACCATACCATTGTCATCCACCAAAAAAAAAAAAATACTGCTATACAACCATACTTATGACTATCATTAGACTAGCTGAGGTATTTAATATTTAGTCCTAGTAATTAATTATATTTTAATGTTATTGAAATTGAAATAATTTATTTGCTATTTTAACTAGATACACAAGTTAACGCATACGATGCGCAATCTCGGAGGAAGGAAATATGTAAATCGCTACGTGTTGATATTACACTGATAATTACACTATAGGATATGAGTGTTCTTAAATCAGAATAAAACATACTTAAATTATATGACAGTGGTTAATTAAAAATATATATCTATGTTGGTTACTTTTGTAGTACTTAAGGTTCAAATATGTTTCTGCTTGGTCTGTTTCATAAAATCAATTGACACGTCTGCTTACTACATTGTTTTATTGTGAACTGAAGCAACAATCCCTTTTTACTAATACTTATATTATATAAAACATTAGGTGACGGAGTGTCTTTTTTTTATACAACTTAGAATGGCAAACAAGCTGCTGAAGTGGTAACCGTCGCCTATAGACATGAGCAGTACCATGGACATAACAGAGTATACTGTTTCGCTCATGATACCCCCCATGCGTTGCCATTCTTGAGGACTCAGGTGTTATTCCTCTGTACCCAGTAAATTCACGCCATATTCCACCTTTTAAACCGAAACACAGCCATGCAAACACAGCTGCTTCACGGTTGAAACACGAATGGGACAGAGGTACCCAAGCAATCGATTTTTGTACAAAGTCTCCCTCTGGTAGTGTAGTGTGTTTGTGTGCGTTATGCATATTATATGGTATGGTGTATGGTATACCTGAATGTATTGGTGTGTGAACTGTGTGTTAAGATTACATAATTATATTCCTTTATTTATCTTTATAAACAATATACCATAATTAGCTACAATAATTTCTTATAAGGTTTTTACATCCATTATCTGTTTTAGTTCTTCTATGATATTATTACTACTGTATTATTACTAATACTTTATAAGACAATAGTAAAGCACCTATATTTTTTATACTACAAATATTCCACAAACTTACTTATATTTTAATAAAACATACTGTGTAGGACATTTTGCATGAATTCGTTGCACCGACATGAGGAAACTCTTAAATGAAAAGAGAGAGGACATTTTATTATGAGATTAGACAGACGTAGTCGCTCCATTCCTGTCAATTGTCTTCTTCAGCAATGGTTTTCCAATTTTCTCAGCTTCATGTACTGTATCTGGCAGTTCGGTCTTGGCAGTTTCTGGCATCAAGAGCGTCAATCCTCCGGATAGAAGTGACGTGACACCAAACAAAAATGTCGGTAGTCCCGACCAATATGAGATCTGTAGAAGTAATTATGACATATAGTATTAAGGTAATCATAACTATTATGGCAATTGTAAAAATAATGACGGGGAGATTGATGTTATCGAAGAAGAAATTTGTTAAAAATTTTCGTTGATTAACTATAAAGATAACGATAATCTAAGCTTTACACGATAATTGTTAATTAACATTAATTATAGTGTACATTTCAGCTGATATGATTATGATGATAGAAAATGTTCAAATGGACAATGACGCAGAAGGAAAGAAAGATGCTTGAGGCATTCGAAATGTGGATATGGAGGAGAATGGAAAGGATAAGCTGGACAGAAAAACTAACGAACGAGAAAGTCCTAAAAAGAGTGAACAAGAAGAGAACATTGGTTGAAATAATAAAGAATAGAAGAGGCAAAATGCTGGGCCACCTTATACGACATGACGATTTTTTTAAGAGCATAGTAGAAGGAAAGATAGAGGGCATAAGAGGAAGAGGAAGACCGAGGAATAACTACATGGGACAGATAAAGGAAACACTAGGTGTCATGTCGTATAAGGAGATAAAGGATATGGCCTGGGATAGAGCTAGCTGGAGGAAGATGCATGAATTAGTTGAAGACAAGAGGAAACTCTTAAATGAAAAGAGAAATGTTCAAATATTGTAACATTCTTCAACATACAAAACGCATTATTTTTCCTAGGCTTAAAAATAAATTTAACACTTTTATGATATTTAGAATGACAAATAGGCTTACGGTCCATCTGATAGAAAGCGGTAATCTTCACCTATAGACATGAACAGTATCATGAATGAATAGAGTATACTGTCTCTCCATGATTCCACTCATGTGTTGCCATTCCTGGGGACTAAAGTTTTGTGCATTTATACCCTATAATTTCACTGTCATACCTAACCCTTCAAATCGAAACACAGGTATGCAAACACTTTTGCTTTACGGCAGAAACACAAGTGAGACAGAAGTAGCCAAGCAGACGACTTTTTAACAAAGTCTCCACCTGGTAATCAAATCAAATCATATTTATTTGCTTCGATTTGATTAGCACAGGTAAATTGAATTCTATATCCATTAATAAATCATTGTCTCATTCGTATTAACATAGTCTGTATTGAGAATTATGAATGGCATAGAACACTTACCATTAACGGAGTCTGTGGAGCAACAAGTGATCCAACTCTGCCTATAGCGGAACATATGGCATGCATCGAGTTCCTGGTGTACGTTGGGAACAGCTCGGAGGTATACATGTAGACGATGTTGTACGAAAACGTAGCGAGCATTTCGAACGCCATGTACAATGTAAGACCTAACCAAACGTAACCTGAAATCATAAAATATGTTAAAACGATCATTAAGAACTATCTGTACATATAGGACAACTATAAAGCATTTAGCAAATTTATATTACCTTTTGGAACGAAGGGATTGCAAACGCTGAAGATACCACCAACAATAAAGGAGGCTAATAGTGGCAATTTCCTTTTATATTTAGCTAGAGCCAACCAATAGAATACATTAGCCGGTATATCCATCAACATGAGAAGAGCAAAGTTTATATACTTGTTGCCGTCAATGAATACGGAGCTGATCATCATTCCGTAGTTGATCAGTGTGATAGTGAACCACCACACCATGCAAACGAGGAACCTTTGCATCATCACCTTTGACCGGAAAGTTTTCAACAGCAGTTTCTTTTGTTTCAATTCTGTCCTCGTTTCCTCATCTATGTATTCTAATTTATTCAACATCATCTTGTCTAATACAACGTTGTTTCGTGCTGCTACTTTTTCTATCAACTTGATGGCTTCGCGTCTTCTTCCTTTACTGAAGAGCCACCGTATACTCTCGTCCAAGAAGAACGAGTAGGTCAGTACAATGAGTGTGGGTGCGTATATCACCCGTAGAAAGTGGCGCCAATAAGGCACCGCCCAGGCGATGAACGGCATTACTATGAGTCCCGCAGTGTAACAGTTCAGCAGTATCATTTGGAATAATACTGCTCTCTTCTTCTCTACAATTTCGATACCTTCAAAGGACATAAATATGTTTAAAACTATTTTTTAAAAATAAGTGTTATTGATATTCTAATTACAGTAAATTTATCAGCCTTTGACTGTCCTTTACTAAATATAAGACTCTCTCGTGGGGCATTTGGCCAGCAAACTTTGCAGTTAGACTTTGAAGATGTTTTAAGGGGGACGCTGCTGCCCATCCCTCGTCCTCTCTTAGTCGTCTTTGACGATGCCCACGAAAAAGGAAGGAGTGGCCTATTCTATAACGGGACTTATCGCATGAAGTTGAATAATTCACATTTGTAAATCTGTATGCTTTCAATTATCTACAAGACGACTATGATGGAAATTGAGTCTTTAAAGTAAATAGATTCCATTCTCTGGCACTTGCATAATAATAATAATTGATTATTTGTATCTTTCAGTCTCGATCAGTTATAAATTGCTTTGTAGGGTGATGCGATAACATACTTAACATGAACATGGGTGACAGGGCATCACCGATGGCGGCTTCCAATCCTTCTAATGCAATATAGCACCAAAAGGATGTAGCGAAACTTTTCGTCAATCCAAGAAGAGCTCCCATGGTGCCCGCGAATACAGCCGCAGTCTTCCGACCGAATCTATCAACAAGTGTATGATGCAAAGCACGCCACTAAATATTTCGATTAAACAAGCTGACAGTCTACCTGATGTTACTATTATAGTGAAGAATATTAGAGATATCGCATAGTACGGTCGATATTTTATGATGTTATGCTGGCTATCTTATCCGTCAGACTGTTTGCTGCTTCAAAGCAGATGCATAGGTGAGATGGTGGTATCTACCTTCATTACATAAACTCTTTCTATCTTTATCTAATGGTTAGTTGGTAGAGAATGTTATACAGAATTAAGCTCGTCATTTGTATAAATTTTATTGTGCAATAAAGAATAAATAAACGTCTATCAAAGTATGTTTCAAATCAATAAAAAAAAAGTAGTTTAATAAAAATAACTACAATTTCGTGAGCAATGATAGTTTCATTAATTATAGTAGTGCATTTCAATTTGTTAAACAAATTTTGCTTTTGTTTTATTTGTTTCCTATCGTTAATATTGTACGTTAAAAGTCATCATGTTATGTTCTCAAGGTGTTAATTGGTCATTAAGCCCAACTGTAAAGGTGGAGTTATTATTAATTTGCGTCAGTCCGTTGCGTGGTTTTCACTACGATCGTCCAATGATGCCCAGTAACCGGTACGTAGTTACAAACTTGTTATGTCCGAGTGCTCGGCTCGTCCACGGATTAAATTTAGCTGTTGTTAACTGATATGACAGCTGTGACGGCCGAACCGAGATATAAATGATGGTCGTTTTCGACAAAAGTTTGTCGTATTTCATTAATTATCTCTGTCATATTAAGTAATATGCGGTTTCTTTGAAAGGTTTCTGTTAAGTTTCTTCATTTTGTATTAGTCGTATACATTTTTTTTGCTTTTTCACCTATAGTTGTTGATACTCGTAGATAGATAATAACCAATATAGATAATAAAAAAAAAATAACGTAAATTTTCTTTTGTTTGTGTGCCACAGTAACACAAAAGGGGACGTTTTCAGTTTATTGCTTTGCCGGCAACAGGTAAAAACACTCATGTTATATTGTGGCCAAAAGCGGTCGTAGGGTACATTTATTTCTGAACATGATTAGGGTTTTTTTTTGGGCGAAAATGATATGGTAACCCCGCCTGCGCTAACGGGATACGCTGGCGGAGCACCAGTGAAGGGTGATAGATGAGAATGAAAACAGGCCAGTTAGCCCATCATGATGAATTCATCAGGAATTAACCATGATAGTTTCCAGGGGGAACCGCGAGGAGGTCGACCTGGTTGTGTATATTGCTCGCAATGTGATTCTCAGTCTCCATTACTAACAATCCCTTTCCCCTCACATGATTAGGGTAACACTCTATTATTTTTATAATAATTATATTATAATAAAACTGTCAGCTGTCTCTTTGAAAGTTGAGTTTTCCAAACGTGCGTAAATAAATTGTGCAAATACATTTATGACAAACCTTGGTCATTAAATCAAATAGTTATTGGATAAAAACAGCAAGTTTCTAGCACGAGAACTTGATTTACAATGTAATAATGTAGCGAGTAGCCATTGCGCGTGATCATGCTAGCTGATAATAAGAGTATTAGCAACATTGATATTTTTATTGTTGAAGGTTTCATAAATTTAAAATTTTAAAAGTAAATAATCCAATTGACTTAGTTTTTTTGTTCATTTTAAGCCCACTAGTAATTTTCCCAGATAAATCTGAACAAGTGTAGGATCCTAAATATTCAAGATATTGACAACTAAATTGATGACCAACCTGTCAGAGATGTGCCCCTGAAGAAGTAGACCCAGCATATTACCAAAACTGTGGACAGTTCCCACCAGCGCTTGCTTCCAATCTTCGCATGCTAAATTGAACTGCACAAATAAAGTGAGAATATAAATATCTGTTCTTTAGTTACCTTGAAGAACTTGTGAATGGATTTGAATGAAATTTGGTACACAAGTAGGTTCTAACTTAGCTCATAGGATACTTTATATATTGATTCGCGTGGGGAAAGCTGTGGGTTACAGTTAGTTTACTATGGGCGTAGAAGAATTATTATGTATATTCAATATTGTTTGTAATATAAAAAATGTCTAGGTACCACATGACAATAAAATTTTTATACGTGACAAAACAGAAAGACGACATGCCTGTTTTGGGACCGTTTGCGTACACTGGTTTCTAGAACAATGCGAGGCTGCGTCCATATGTGGAGACAAATTATAACTTTAACGTGAGTTCTTCGCATGCAGTTCTCTGCCATACAATAACAGTTATGTTTTACAATAGTGACGTGATATGCAAGTATCCAGCAATAAGAACTGCACGTCGTTTAAAAAGGTATGAAAATAGTTTTTTAGGCCAACATCACAATGTATTGGAGTTGTAAGTTGCAATTACCGTGCAGTATTGGTTTAGCCGTTTGATAGATTTGCACATGTGAGGTACAAAAAAAGGAAATTAAAAAAAGAAAAGACAGAAAACAAAAGTAAAGAATTAGATATAAGTGAAAAAGTGAAAGCGAGGGATTAGATATGATATGATTGGATATGGTGGATAAGTATGATAGAGTGGGTTTTAAGGTTTTTCCTTTATTAGGAGAAATTATTAGGAAAAAAGAAAAAAAAAAAACTATCAAAAGTGTTAAAAGTATAAATGCAAAAAAAGAAAAACAAATTAGTAGTACAGCAAAGAGGTCTTTCAAAAAAGTATTAGTGTACTTTTTTAATTTGGATTCTGGATATATAGCGGGCTTCACAGCAGTTATTACCTCGGCCATGAAACTGTCGGGCACTTCGTACACCCATTCGCTGCATTGCACCAGTTCGCTGGTGTCGAACTCCCGGCAGCCGGACACCGGTGCGTAGTGGACACACTGCTTCACGCTCTCCTGCTGCTCCGAAGAGTTCACCAGCCATGATACTAAGAATGTACCGCTATCTGTTTTTTCACATGCAGGGATCTTGCATCTGCAATGCAAGAGTTCGTTGCTGTATCTTTTTCACCTTAAGATGCACCAATAATTATGTATAGAATATCTTAAATGAAACCAACAGACAAATAAACCTTTTTCATATTTTTTTGTAGACAAAAAGGAGCGAATTTCTTTTTAGATATTTTATATGCTAACCAATGTCTTCGTCTGGTATTAAATATATTATGGGATATAGAAAGAAAGAAAGAATTTATTCGTAGAATCATGCGACTCACACAGTTGCGTGAATAAAAAACTAAGTTTGACAATATAATTAAAAATATAAACAAAAAATATAATAATAATAAGTGGAAGTGTGTAGTCGTGTGCGTGTGTGTGTGTGTGCGTGCGTGCGTGCGTGCCTGCGTGTGTGCGTGCGTGCGTGCGTGCGTGCGTGCGTGCGTGCGTGTGTGTGTGTCGCAACGTTCTCTGCAATACGTCTGTGCTCAGCATATTGCTGCGGTGTTTGAGGCATTACTGCGCTGTTTTTCAGCACAAACCTTGACGTCCCAGGTAAATAGAGTTATAAATGGCAGTAAATTAATGGATATTGTAATATAATACCATAGTTTTCAAAAATAGCAAAGCATAAAGATCTCCATAGGCGATATAACTTTTCATCAAGTAAGTTCTTAGCTCGTTGCCCATTTCAAGTTGTATAAAGTCTAGTCGAGTTAATGATTTATTTTATAACTAAATTTGCTGTCAAGAAGTTTGCACATTCTCTTCCGGTTTGAAAGGGGTGACGTAACAGTCAAATTATTTAGAATACGATTAAATTTTACATGAATTGGCAACACGCGAATGATGTCTCTGATGTTGCAAACATTTACTTTTATAGCTACTGGCTTATTATCGTTGTTATTTTCAAATACCAACCTGTACTGCACATCTTCGACTGCAAACACATAATTCACATTATACATGGAGTTGGTCGAGTAGACCAGCGCCAGCATGCACATAGTCACCAGCTGGTGGCGGCCGAACGCTCCCAGCTGTTCCAGCACATCGTCCAGATGGATGGACTTCTGATCGTTCAGCTCGGCCATCTTTAATTTCACTTTATATACTTCTGTTTATTTTCTACAGACTTTGTTCTGATCATTGCAAGTATAATCCATATAAATACAAGTATGTAGGTTTCAAAAATTCTTCCATTTTGAATTAAGAATTTCTTAATGTTCGATTGAACATTCGATGAGTTACAAAGTCTTTATTTATAGTAACAAAATTATTGCAATTGATATTGCTCCAGGATCCAGACAAATACGGGTCCTTAATCAAGCTCCTGAATCTGCACTCAATTTTAATAATGAGGGTTACTTGAAAAAAATTCCTGTAAGCGAATTGATGTGAAACAGATAAATTATAACTTTACTAGTAATCAAGGTTTGAATGCATTTTGTTTTGAACAAATTATTAATATTGAAGTTAATTATAGGATGCAATATCATTTGCCGAGTGCGTTCGCTGATGAAGATGTAGTTTTATTATGCGGACAGCTAATAACTTCACGGTTTGATCCATCTATTTGCAATTACTGTCTTGCAGTGTACGCGCGTGCTCTGCATGGCGAGAGTGGTTCTTGTCAGTCGGTTCAATGAATAGTATCTACTCGTAATATACGGTAATAAATACTGCAAGTGCATAAGATCAAATGTTGCTATCGACCGGTTTTATCAAATTTCCTAGAGTTTTCATAGATACACACACTAGAGTCAGAGGTGAATGTGTGCGTCAGTGTTTTTATATCCATCACTAAACAGTAGGCGACTGTTTAAAATAAGTATCCTTTAAATACTTTTATATTAACAAATTGAAATTGAGAAAAATTAACGAGACGAAGCCGGCCGCATTCTTATCTAATCCTACCTAATTCTAAATAAGTTGAAACAGTTTTAAAAACAATATGATTTATTTAGATAAGGATTTAAACAGAAGTATGAATATCATGGTGTAATTTTGGTCGATATTTCTATCAACTTTTAAAATGTAAAAAGTGGTTATTGTGACATAACGATAACAGTTGGACATATAGTATCGCGAAGTTTTTTGTAGTTATTGATATTTTGTTCAATATTGTAGAACATACTTTTGTTCTATCACCAATAGTTTCCGCAGCGCACGCGACGAAAGATATTTTATAGCATTTTTTTACACTTTGAGTTACATTTCTAAAGTTTTAATAAGGATCCCTAATATTTTTTAGCAATAAATATTACGGACGATTACCACTTTCCATCAGGTGGGCCGTCAGCTTGTTTGCCATTCTAAGTTGTATAAAAAAAGGGTGTATATTTTATTTTGAAATGCCATCTAAAAGTAGTAGTTTTTTCATATGGTTTTCCTACTTCTTGATATCTACGCGTACGAAGTAAAATATGATGTAAAAAAATATGACGAATAAATCCAAATAATAAAATATAAAATATTAATCAATACATAGGTACACAATTTAAAATGTAAAAGCTAGTGTATGCGTACAAATATACGCGTATAGTTAGAACTACATTTTTACTAGTAGAGCGTTAATTGGTAGTCGAATGATAGGAATAATTTTATTATTTTAATAGTACAATAGTCATTGTGTTTCAAGCTACTAGTTTATAGCTTGTCTTTCTAGGTATACGACCCAACACGGCCTTGCCCGCCCTTGGCCGCGCGCCCGCGTACCTTCACGCGCCGCTCTCTCATATGCATGTAGGATGGGCCCTGTGTATCCGTCCATTGTCCATGTGCTTTACAACTGTTGTGTCAACATTAACAATGGGTTTAGTGGACTGTTCTATGTCACATATATTTATGTTAGTACTATATTGAGATTAATAAGTGCATGACGGCTGGTCGAATTCGTTTTGTCCTTTGTTTGTAGTACGCATAGATATATACGATGTAAAAAAAAGGAATAATTTTTTTTCATGTAAACTTAAATTTAAGCATTTTTGAAAAGTTATTTTTTATGACTCTAACGCCTAGTGAGAATAAATTTCAGATAGATAGATAGATTTATTCGCCAGAACATTTTTTTTTACAGATTTTGTAAAAACAATGTTCTGGCAAATAAATCTATCTATATCAGCTAAGTGGAACGAACAGGAAACTCAGTAATTCTTTTTCAAAAAGTTGAATTACATAAATTGAGAATTTATGTGAATACATATTGCGAGTACTAAGCTGTATCAAAACATAATATTTAAGAAATGTGGAAACGTCATAGGCTCACGGGAAACACAATGTGACTTCTTGACGTTGTCAATGTCAATTCTAAATGTCATGTCACTGTCAATGTCAGGATGACGTGCTTATTATAATTGCATTTTTTTTTAACAGTTGTATATTCCATATTTACATTTTATAAAGATCTTTCTTTCCTTTCTCTTCTTTTTAAACGATCAAGACGCAGATACTTGATATTTTAATTGTCACGATAATTTTAAACATTAGTCTCAAATCAATATGTGCATATTTGAGTTTACTTAGTAAGAATTATAACCCGAATGTAGTACCCTTTAAATTTTGCACATCTCATGGGTAGAGTGCATATATTTTTTACATTTCTGTATTGTACTATTTATAAAACCCTGTATTTATTACAAATGAGGAATTTATTTAGATTTGTGATTATTTTGTCTTGAGACACAGTACCCAGTTACTGCAAGTCATATCTCACCGTGCAAACCGGAACACAGCGTGCTGGCTGTTTGACCTCACTTACGCAATATAATAATTACCAGTTCGATACCGAGAAGAGAATTCTCTGAACCGGCTACATATGAGACTGTCCCAACACGTAGGAATGCGGCGCGCACTGTCCAACCATGATCGGCTGAGCGTGTAATTGCGAACATGGTGATTCTCACTGAGTGATTAATGATAAGTAAATTATAGTAATTTTAGTTTTTGTAGTGACGACGCAGTCATGCAGTGTTGTGGCTTTAGTTGGCTTGCCGGCCGTGAAATGGGCCAACTTTGCGGTCTGTTCTCACCACAGAAGTAAATTGGAACGGCAACTAATCACAGAATTGAATCACGTTTTTGTTTCGATCCGCGAGAGATGAAGCTGCTGTACCGATATTGTTCTGTTCATCTGTTCGCCATTAAATATGTATTTCGTTTGATTATCTACGTGACCGTATAATGGTCTGGTATATTACTCATCATGTTTTTTTTAAGTTTGTAGTCAAATAACTATATCAGTGCAATAATTTCATTATGTGTGTTTTATTTTATCTGCGATTGAAAAATTACAGTAATGATTTATTGGGAATCACTCTTTACTTTGGAGTTTTCGAACTTTGCAACTGAGCTACTTCTAAAAGTGTAAGTCTCTTCGATACATGTTAATTAAGTTCCAAAAGTTACGAAGAAGCCACAGTATGCGTCTGTATTTTTTTTTCTTTACATCCTTAAGTCCTTACTTTATTCACGATACAGGACTGAAGCTTTTCGTGGTAGCTTCCAATATGCTGCCACACTTGTATCACGTTTATCCTAGATCCTCCTAAAATAAAGTTTCCGTTATTTTTTTTATACAACTTAGAATGGTAAACAAGCTGACGGCCCACCTGATGGAAAGTGGTAACCGTCGCCTATAGACATGAGCAGTACCATGTACATAACAGAGTATACTGTTTCGCCCAAGGAATGGCAACGCATGGGGGGTATCCCCATGCGTTGCCATTCCTGAGGACTCAGGTGTTATTCATCTGTACCCAGTAAATTTACGCCATATCCCACCCTTCAAACCGATACACAGCCATGCAAACACAACTGCTTCACGGTTGAAACACGAATGAGACAGAGGTACCCAAGCAATCGACTTTTGTACAAAGTTGTTCATGAAATACTATCAGTGGGTCTTTACTTGATGTGCTCGTTACGATTAATCTGTATGCAGGCGTAACAATATTATGCTCTTTAATGCACTTGCTGTCATTTATGTCACTACACAAGAAGTCACTTATGTAATAGAATGGTTTACTAAACTCGTTGCCCAGAGTTGGTTTAGCTCTAAAAGAGATAGCAATTCTTTTTTATTATAGCACGACATGCGACCGTCCGAAAACAGAGACATTATGGTTCATGACTACGATCAATTGAATAAAGAATGATTTACTCTTAACGGTTGATCGTTTGAAGGATCCCAGGTTAAAGGAAACACATCTCGGGAAAGGCCATCCCACATTGTTCCGGTACGGTTTACGTAAGGATTGGTAAATTTATTTGTACGTGATCCTTCTAGCCAATTTAACGCTGTGAAATAAAAAAGCCTGTCAAGTGCGAGTTGGAGTCGCACAACGAGGATTCCGTACAAATTTATCAAGTATAATTTTTTTCTATGATATACCTACACTTTTATGGTTTTCGGATGTTACTTGTGCTACATGACATTGTTTTTTACCAAATTTCATAATTCTAGGTCGTAACATATAGGTTTTGATTCCCTTTGTGAATGTCGAAATAAGCGATATAAATGGAACATTAACGGGCCGTATCTTTTGATTGCATTGATTTAGAAGCTTGATAATTTCACTGTTTTTAGATATTGCAGATTTGATATCATATCAGAGATTGAGTATATAATATTAATTTCAACTTGATAACTCCACGCGTTCCTAAGAAAAAGGGTCTTGACAGACGGACGGACGGATGGACCGTTCCATTTTTTCCTTCTTAGCTACGGAACCCTAAAAAATTACAATATATAGTCTCATGGCTATGAATCATTTACGAACATAAAATAATCATCTAACTCCTACTCATATGTAAAATCAACTAAACTTTATTATTGACACTATAATAGTATTTTTAAATATAACTTTTTTGGTTATATTTGCATAGACCGGCAATATGTATATAACGTTTGTAGTTTAAAACTGACAGGCATTTCAGAGAATGTTAAATAAATACTGGTTAAGGTGTGAATTTTAACAAGTGGATCGCGGCGTCGGATTGTGAACAGCAGCAAAATAGGTATTTACCGTAGAAATCGCATAGAAGAAAGAAAAATGATATTTCTTGGTCTTGGCATAAAGTAGAGTAGATATGCTATAGCATATAGCATAGTTCATAGATAGCATATTTCATGGTACGGTATACTGTATCATGAAAGTGTCAAGACTCTCCGGAACTTTTTTATTTTGTGACCAGTTTTGAAAATGGATGAAACAAAAGAAATGTATTCGCATTTAAACGTAATACTAAGAAATAGACTTACAAGGAATGGTCCTGACTGAATCATACTTGATATTAATCCATCTATGAATGACTGGAATAACAAGTAGGTAAACAGCGATGACACAAACAATAAAAAAAAAAATATATTTGCAAGTAATC